ACACACACACACACACACACACACACACACACACACACACACACACAGGCATGCGTGTGCACATGTGCTCACACAGCAAACAGCTCCAGCTCTCCAGCTCCAGCTGGGAAGTATGCTTTAGAATCATGACAGTTTACTTTTTTCCTATCTGACCTCATGCAAACCGACTTTCTCCACCTCTCTGACCCCCAAATATACACATTCAGTCCCCGACCCACCCCCAATCTTCCTCACTTAGAAAGCTCTTTTAAACCATCTAAAACTTAAAATAAATACCAATTTGGAAACCTGAAGCATGCGCCAGTCCGTCCGTCTGTCCCCACCTTCTGCTGGAAGCCTCCGACCCCAACTCCTGTCAGCCCTCCCCAACTTGGGAAGCCCAGTGGCCTCCATGCACGGCTGGCACACGCAGAGAAAACAAACACATGGAATCCTGCCAGCTGGGTCAGGCACCACTATTTATAGCAGAGCGAAGTGTGGGGAATTGGAGGCGTGATGAAGGGTGTGGGGCGGAGGGGGTAGGGATAATTCCAGCCGCTCCGCCCAGGCTCCACAGCTGCAGAGGATCCCTGCTGATGTTCTGCCGGCCCAGGTGCAACCCATCCTGTGTGACTAATACCTTCCCTGTGCTGGAGCCTCCCAGGGTAGAGGGCCTGTTATCTTGCTCGTTACTGTAGCCCCAGCATCTATCTCTAGAAGCACAGTAAGTATTTGTTAATTAAATGAATAGATGAGCTTTTTTTCTTCCTGCCTACCCCACCAGGCTGCAGATGGAGGAGCTGGAGTGGGTGGAGGGGAGGTGAATGAGGAATGCCTAAAACAGCCTTCTAAAAATCTATCAGTTGTTAAAATGTGCTAGCCAAAAGAATGTAGGGAAATGCTCTGTTAAGAAAAGCAAATTAGGTTTCCTTAGTGCAGGCCTTTTCAGAGCCTTTAATGGGCTGTTATTATTGTGAATCACCAAAAGGTGGGTAGAGTATGCACTGAAGGCTGAACTCACTCAACCACAGGCCTGGACTTATTTGACCACAGGCCTGGACTGACTTGACCACACTACTCTTTTTTCTCAGAGTACCATTAGTGAGGAGAATTTCATCAAATACACTTTGGGAAATGTTGGCCTAAGAGGTTCCTGGAGAATATCCCAAAAACAACTTGTAAAACAGCAACCCATGTTTGTAATTTAAAAAAATTACATGTGAATATGTGGTGTACAGTTATTTGGATTGTCATAGGATAAGGTCAGGAGACACTTAAATGTTAACATCAGTTACGGTGAAGAGCAGGAAATTTGCACTTTTTATACTAAACACTTCAGAAATATTCCAAGTGAGTGTGTAGTTATTTTTGTAATTAAAAAGGTAAATTAAAAAAAAAAAACTATCCCCAAATATTATCATGTCATCACTGAAATTTTATCTTCCCATAGGCCCAGGGCCTCATTTCCTAACAACTCCTTGGGCTATAAAATGTTGCTCTTTGCTCCATGATCACATCTAAAGTGTTTCCTGTGTCTATATCCAACAGTCAACTCCTTCGGCTTACAAAGAACCCCCTCCCCTAATTCCAGGATTCTGTTGCGTCCACACAATGTGGACAAGTATTTTGGAAAAAATGAAAACACATTTAATATTCTTTTAGCAACCTTTACTAATCTGAAATTACTTTGTTTAGTAAATGGTATAAAATAACCACCAAGCACTTCGTTTGCTGCAATTACCATGTTGGGCATATTAACATTTAAGGACTGCCTTTTTTTCCTGCTAAATCACTAATTTCCTAACTTAACTGATTAGTAAATGTAATTAAAAGTCATTCAGATTTAGTGAATGTAACACACCAGGTTTTGTTGTAATATGAGATTAAGGCAAATATTTAGAATTGGAAGAAATATTCCATCTTAGCATAAAAGAGAGTATGTGACCATTTGCTGAGTTACTGTGTGTGAGATGATGTGCACATATTATCTTGTCTAACCTCTAAGTAACTCTGTGAAGGAGGTAGTATTGTCATCTCCATTTTACAGATGCAGCAGTTGAGGCTTAGAGAGGTTAAACATCTTACTCAAGTAAAGGATTCAAAGCCAGGGTTACCTGCTTCCCCTGCCTGCTGGTCTTGGTGTCCTTGGTAGATTTAAGCAGACAAACTGAAAAAGGAAACTGAGGAAGGCTGAAAAAAACCGAAATCAGCCTGGGTTGGGGTCATGCATTAGCCACCATGTTTCGAGAGGGACTGGTTCGTCAGGTCCCACAATGCACTCTGTAGCCAACTCATGAGGATGCTCAGTCCCCCACCCCAGCGGGAGTCAGCCCTGAGTGAGCACCTCAATCCCATCCACGAGTTGGCCGCGGCCCTCTTGAGTCTGGATCCACGTAATATGCACCAACATGTAGTGAGAGACAATAAATTCTTCCATTTCTTAATCTGACCTCTCTCATCTTCCTTCTGGTCTTACGTCAGCATACGACTGGAGGTTCCCAACGCTGGCTGCATGGAACAAATATCCGGGGACACTAAGACACGTCAACGCCTGGGCAGCACCTCAGGCAAATTCACTTAGAGCCTGTGGAAGTGGGGCCCAGGTATCAGCATTTCCAAAACCCTTTCCTGGAAACTGTAATGTTTAGCCAGGGTTGAGAACCCCTGGAGTCTCCGCCATGGATTTGTGGGTCATTCTGACAGAGAAGGTCTGCCAGAGATGCCTTGGTTGCACGGGATGCCACGGTTGGAATTGCGAGTTTTGTATAAAGATGCTCCCTGCTCTAGTATTTTTAGTGAAATTCTTGCCATTTTTAAAGCTATTTTCTTTTATTCCACAAATTGAATATCTTAATACACTTTAACGAATAAAACATTTTCTCAAAGTTTCTCTCAGATATCCCCAGATATTTTCTGGACTTTCATATTACTAGTTTTCTCCTCTTCACACGGAAATAAAAACCCAAGAAGAGAGACCACCGTCGCAAACAGCACCTACTTTGGGGGCCGAGACGGCTTCCGGAGTAGCAAAGGTGACACGTAAACAGGTCCCTGGGCCACAGTCACCCCTGCTGGGGCACCACCACTTCTGGGGGCAGACAGCTTAGCAGGAGACCGAAGTTTTCCAAGCATATGCACATTTTAGCGTTTGCACATGAAAACCTGATGTGCCCTCAGTGATTCCCTTAACAAGTTGAGAACAGTCTCAGGGCCTCACAGACCACCAGGAAGTAGAACAGGTGTTGGCTGTCCAGGGGTCCCACATCCACTTAACACCAGATTGCGCCAGTGGGCTTTGGCTCCCCTGGAACTGGCTTTTTGACATCCCAAAGGGTTAACAGCTCAGCCTCTAGCTTCCGGCCTTCCCTTCCCCAAGAAGTGGATTTTCAGTTTGGTCCCTGCCGGGGTGGAAGCAGCGCCTCACCCCAACCTTAGAGACTTGGGTCCCGCCCAGCCCCTCCCCACCTGCGGCCCTCCCACTCCAGGAATGAAGCTGCCGCTACTCAGCGTATACCAAGACTGGTTTCATCTCCTTCCAAATCCATTTTGTGTCTTAACTTCTGCCAAGGATAAAAATTAAAACGTTCACACACACATCACGCGTGTATGTGAGGACAGAGCTCGAAGTTTAAACTGAAAAAGACCAGGCAGGGAAGGGAGGGGCAGGTCGCTGATCAAAGTCGGGGCCTGGAGACTTCCCTGGGGTCTGTGTGGGCCCTGGCACACCCTGCCTGAGGCCCCTGCTGGCTAACACCCAGGGTCAGACCTGAGCCGGTGTTTGCAGCATCTCCCCTCCTGTTCCTCCAACACCCATTTCATACCACCCCAAACGCTGCCCAGGGGGCCACAGAGCAGCCGAGCTGCCCAGCACTCCACAGGCTGGAAGCAGACTCTGGTCCTCACACTTGGAGGAGCCCGTTCCTTGCCAACTCCAAAATGAAAATAAAAACAGTGCTTGGAATGACACACGGGTCCTGGTGGCATAGGCGGCTTGCGGACTGCTTCTGGCCACCCAGAAAAATGGGTCTGGAGCTGGAGCCTCTGTTCTTAGACCCCTGTCCCCCCATACCCGGGTCTGCAGACACCTGAATCTGGGCACCAGGCAGAGAGCAGCTCTGACCCAGCTTTCTCCTGTCATCTCCTGCTGCTGACTTCTTCCTTCTTGGCCAAACCAGGAGCCCCTGCATTGCAGAACGATCACGCCTAACCTTTCACCCATTCAGGATCCCCCAGAGTTCAGATAATGGCCCTTTACTCAACTCTAAACCCCATCAGCTGCCCCTTTTCCTCCCCAAATGGTGAACTAGGTACTCACATCACTTACACCTGTCCATTCTGACGCATACAATCCTTTGCCTTCCAAGTCAATAAACACCTATTGAACACTCATTCAATATGAAGCTCTGTGGATCCGAAGATAAAGTTCAAGCTTTCTCTAAGAGCTCAGCATCTGGTAAAGGAGACACACAGAAACACCTCAGAGCAGCGTGGAGCCACTGAGAATCAAACCCGAGGGCCCTGGGCTGGGGTTCTTTCTTTTCCATGCCCCTGTTAGGAGGGCACAGGAAGACTGGATCACACACTTCTTTTGGAAAAAGTACCCTTGTGGCGTTCATCCTTGTCCTATCTGCACACAGAGCAGAGTAATGAAAACAAAGTAGTATTTTTGTTTGTTTGTTTTGCGGTACGCGGGCCTCTCACTGTTGTGGCCTCTCCCGTTGCGGAGCACAGGCTCCGGACGCGCAGGCTCAGCGGCCATGGCTCACGGACCCAGCCGCTCCGCGGCATGTGGGATCTTCCCGGACCAGGGGCACGAACCCATGTCCCCTGCATCGGCAGGCGGACTCTCAACCACTGTGCCACCGGGGAAGCCCCAAAGTAGTATTTTAAAAACTCTTTTGTCTTGATAATTGTTGAATTTGGGTGATGGGTACATGGGGTTCATGATACTCTTCTTTCTGCTTTTGTGTATTTGAGTTTTTAAATAATAATGAAACTTGCTTTTTCAATAGGATGACTAGAACAAGATCATCCCAAACCTTCTCAGTCCTGCACCAACTTCCAGGACGCCCGCCCCCCCACCCCCGCCCATTGCTCCCCATGCCACCAGAGCTAAGCCAAATAGCACTGTCCGGCAGGTTTCCACGAGCGCCCAGGTTCTGGTAACGGAGGGCAGTACACCTCTCTTCAACCTTTAAAGGCTCCCTAGTGTTGGGCCAAAGAGGCAGCCCCACCCCTGAAAGGGTACTGCTGGCCGCAGCCAGAGGAGGCCCTGAGAAGCCTATCTCCTTGGTGCTCTGGCTTGGGAACCTGGACCCTGTTGGCTGCCCCCTATGCCCTCTGCTTCCTTTCTGGGTTCCCTGTCCTGGATGGGCCTTCCCCAGAACCCTGAGCATATCTCACCAATGACAGGTCCCCAGTGTTGGTGGGCTTTTCCCTGATGGCAGAACCACCCAAGTGCACAGGCTTCAGGGTCCGAGTGAAAGACCACCACTTTTCTCTGGACCTCCATTTCTCTACCTATAAAATTCCCAAACATACCGTAAGTGACACAGCTCTTTAGATAGCCAAGTTCTCCGAGAATATGGGCTCTTGGGAAGGAATTATAAATCAGCAGCTTATCTCAAAAGCCAAAGTAATAATCATCATGATGATAATAATGGTGACATCTAGCACCTCCTCTGAGCCAAGGGCTCTTCCAATGAGAGAAGGTAGGTAACGCAGTTCAACGTGAAATGACCTCTTGCTTGGATTTGGGAAATATTGAGAATCTAAGTTGTAAGTGTCTTGAGGGCAGCACGCATGGTGCTCGATAATCTGTTGGCTGATCAACTGAAAGGCCACTCTTTAGGGTTACAAACATGTCCTTGGGGCCACGTGGAAAATGCCTGAAGAGGCACGAACAGCACTGCTCTAGGCAAGGTTTATGGCTGGGTCTTTGGATAACCAGAAACAGCTCAGCGTGGAAGCTCAGTGACTGGAGGGAGGCTGGGTGCAGCGGGCATCGTGACTTTCAGAGGGTGGGAGACAGGTCAGAACCCCCTGCCCGGGGAAGGGTAACACACCTCATTTGGGCTGAGGTTCAGAGAAACAAGGCCTCACTGCCTTTCCCCCATCTAGACCACGGGCGTTAGCGCTGGCACTTTGGTTAGTGTCCCTGTGCAGGGAAAATGAGTTCTGCTGCCTCACACTCCATCACAACGGGGCAGGCTGGTCCTCTTTACCTCCTGACTTTGAAAGCTGTAGAACTTAGCTGTTCAGGAGCCTCCCTGTTCCACGGCCATGGAGGCTTTTTCTAGAGAGGGGAGTCGGGCAGTGGTGGGTAAAACTGGGACCCTGCCCTGGTTTCCCACAGATTGTTCTGTAGAGAAAGTGCTAGAGAAAACCCAGACTGCCCTGGAGACTTCCTTCCACCAACACTCACTGGAGCTTCACACGTGTGGCGAGGCCACGCCGCGTTTCCCTGCACAACCTGCCCTAACAGGCGACCACGCCGCTGGGAGGTCCTGGCATGGCCCCCAACTGGACAGGATGCCATTCCTCATACTAAAGGTTTTTTTTTTTTTTTTTTTGCAGTACGCGGGCCGCTCACTGCCGTGGCCTCTCCCGTCGCGGAGCACAGGCTCCGGACGTGCAGGCTCAGCGGCCATGGCTCACGGGCCCAGCCGCTCCGCAGCATGTGGGATCTTCCCGGACCGGGGCACGAACCCGTGTCCCCTGCATCGGCAGGCGGACTCTCAACCACTGCGCCACCAGGGAAGCCCTAAAGGGTTATTTTTTAATACATCACAAGATATTTATAAACTCAGCGTTTCTGAGATTTTTTCCCCCCAAAATCAGGGGAAAAAAGTCCCATGCAAATGCTTTGTCAGATCATGTATTTATCTTTTGGTTTAGCAAACGTGGTCCCTGCTCCTCGACACACGCTGCCTGGCTGCACCTACAGAAGCCGGTCCGGGATTCTCCCACAGGACCTCCTGGGGGGACAGCATGTGAGGAGGTGACTCAGGAATGAAGGCTGGATCTGGCAGGGAACGTGGGTCTCACCCTCCCATGTTCAGCAGTTCTCTATCCTTAGCCTCTGCAGGCAAACTGTGACAAGGGCCAAGGCCTCCCATGTGTTGACGGTCAGTCAGCAGACACAGCCTTCCAGATGCTGGAGCGAGACCCAGGAAGACAAGAGGGTGCAGGGCACACCACCCTGAGTCCACAATTAACGACAAAAGCAAGGACGGCTTGCCTGTAGACGGTACCTCTCTGAAGAGTTTAAGGAGCATTCAACACTCCACTGCATTAGTGCTCACAGTCTTGGTGACACACCTGGGACAAGTACTATTAGTCTCCATTTACACAGGGTACAAGTCAGAAGAACCACTGAATGGCAGCCCAAGAGCTCTCAGCAAGTCCCTGAACAGGATACAGATGGGAGGGTGGGCTAGGCAAAGGGCAAACCAGAGGACGAGGTGGTAAGGACTGGATGACTGGCATGGAGTTTCTACCATCTGAGAGCTGACTTTCCAAGGAGGCCATGTCTTTTTTCTCCTTTTTACTGAACTCTGAGGCACCTGCCTGGTGTCCTTGGAAGTGAGGAGGTGTCAGCTGGCCTCAGCTCTTCGTTTACTCCACATAGAAGCAACAGAAGCTGGGGTCTCAGTCCCTGCTCCCCAGGGTCGGAACCCTCTTCACCTAGTACAGCCCTTTCCTCTCAGCCCTGGAACGTTTCAGCCTGCTTCAACCAGATGGCCCACGTGACCCCCATCCACACGCACTTCCCTTTCCTCTAACTGGGGTCCAGAGTTGGAGCCCGGCTGGAGGAGGTCCTCCTTCTGCTCTAGTTATAAAATCCATCGTTATCCCTCATCCCCTGAGAGCCTCACTGTTTAATGACTGGTGACGGCACTGAATACTGGGGTTCCTGCCACACACACCCGCCAAGGAATCCTCGTTTGTGAGGCTGACTGAAGAAAGAAGCACTTCTTAGCAGGGAAAACGTTCTCACTCTCTTTGTGCCTGATCAGTCTTCCTGCTTAATGACCACAAAACAAGCCCTGAAGCTCAGTGCCTCCCAGGGCTCAGCACAGACACCACTGGGGCTGAGACAGCAACTCCGGTGGCTGAGGGAGCTGTGGCTGCCGCCGGATGCGGCGTGAAGGAGTGCTGCCTGCCCTGCCTGCCTGGGAGGCTCACTTCCCCGCCGCTTGTCCAAAGCTCCAGAGCAAGTAAACCAAACTAGCGAGGAGGAAGGCAAACGGCCCGGTGCTCCTGTCTGTCTACTTAAGAGCGTGACACAAGGTCTGCACAGCCGATACTTCCAGATGTGGAACCAAAACACAGGCAGCAACCGACAGTTTACCAGCCTAGGCTGAACTCCAGTAGCACCAGCGCCAGGCGTGCCCAGTGGATGACGACAGAGGAGCAGCACTGCAGACCCGTGGGCTCTGGGCAGGTGGGTCTCAGCCCTGGCTGTGGGCTCCTCCGTTGTCAGCGCCTTGCACCCCAGCTGGATGTATGGTGTGAGGGGGCATGGCGTGGAGAAGGCCATGTTTAAAACTGGAGGAGAATGCAGGGGACGCGGGTTCGTGCCCCAGTCCAGGAAGATCCCAAATGCCGCGGAGCGGCTGGGCCCGTGAGCCATGGCCGCTGAGCCTGCACGTCCGGAGCCTGTGCTCCGCAACAGGAGAGGCCACAACAGTGACAGGCCCGCGTACCACAAAAAAAAACCCCCACAAAAACAAAAACTGGAGGAGATTGCTAAGTGAAAGGAGCCAACCTGGAAAGACTATATATACTGTATGATTCCAACTACATGACCTTCTGGAAAAGACAAAATTACAAACACTGTAAAAAGAACAGTGGTTGCCGGGGATTGGGAGAGGGAAGGAAGGAGGGCCAAATAGGTGGAACACAGGGGATTTTTAGGCAGTGAAACTATTATTCTGTCTGATACTATAGTAATGGTGGATGTGTATCATTACGCATTGGTCAAAACCACAGGCTGTATAATGCAAAAAATAAGTCTTAATGTAAACTATGGACTTTAATTAATAACGATGTGTCAACATTGACTCATCAATTCTAACAAACGCATTACACCAACGTAGGATGTTGGTAATTCGGGAAATTGGTAGGGGTGGGGGGGTATGAGTTAACTCCCTATAATTTTCACTTATTTTTTTTCTATAATCCTAAAACTGCTTTTTAAAAAAGCCTATTAATTTCTTTCTAAGTTAAAAAAAACCTGGAGGAGGAGGTTTGGACTATTCCCCAGCTCCCTGAGATGCTGTAAATGTTGGGTCTGGGGATCTTGGTAGTGTAATTTCTCAGGCACGTTTGTTGTCAGCAGGAGACCTCTTGGGATATTTGCCCCTATTTTTACTGTTCCTTAGCTTCTAAATCTAGAACCAAGCTAGAAATGACTGAGATGCAATTTGAATCAGATCTATCCCCCTC